GGAGAAGAGATGGGGTGGGGGTCAAATAAAAGCTTCCTCGGACAGGGGTTGCTGCCGGAGGGGGGAGGGGGTCAAAAAAAAGCTGGGGGGTCAGAAAAAAGAGGGGGGGGGTCAAAAAAAAGAGGGGCCCTCTGGCTAAGGCAAGGTGGGCAGTGCAGCAACTGTTCCGGTGACTGGGCATCTTCTGCAAAGGGGCGTGTCGAAAAGCCTTCCTGTGGTAGTGGTTCGGAGTCGTTCGGCTTTTGACTCCATGTTATGTTGAGGGGCATATCAATGCCGAGGCAACCTTCACCTGCCGTTACGGTATGTGACTACCGCTGGCCTGAAAAAGCTTGCAAGCAACCTGACAGCCCCTGATGCAGGCACAAATTTGCAGCTGTGACACCAAGTTGCCCATCGCCATTGCGTTGTGCAGATACTTTGGAATGCGAATGCATGTCACACGGGACCACTTGCCACGGCGGCAGTCTTTGACGCACTTCCAGATGCATCCTGCAGGGAACAATGTGGGACCCAAAAGAAACAGAGTGGACTCCTTCCGGCAACAAAATGTAGCTCGGCATGATCACTGCCGCCGAGAGTCTGATCAGCAGTCTGGTCATGGTCACCATGTACATGAAGGTTCGCCCAAAGAAAATCACAATCCGCACTTCCCAAATCGATTCGAGTTGGGTGGTCTTGGGCAAGATTGCCACGCTCAGCATAAAAATCAGTAAACTGGTCAGAAACCACAGGCGGGAGATGAGGAAGGAATTTCGCACGATGCCTCCCCACCTCAGAGATGCCGGAGCTACATCCAGAACACGGTCTGAACTGTCTTGAGTCTTGCTTGAATGCGTGCAAGTCGCAGCGTGTCAGAGACCATCACCACCGCCGGGTGTACCATGATCTTCGGGTCTTTCGTGGTGCAAATCTCTCTGAGGAACTCCGCCGGCTCACCCTCCTGCGACATGCTGCATCACCGACAAGGAAACTACCTCCGCCTCTGGGCTCGGAAGCGCCTGATTCACCAGCAGATGCTTCACCTGGGCAATTTCGGAAGTCGCCCCTGGCAGCCCCGGCCCTGGGCCCTCTCAATCCCTGGTCAGATGCGAACATGGCACGTAGAAGTTCACGCGGCGAAGACCAGAATCCGTTCTAGCAGAACGCCAGATCAAGCCATTGAGGAGCGTTGGAATGAGGGTTGGCGCCTCACAGAATCATAGCCTATCTGCAAGTCATGGCAAGTCTGCAGGCCATAACCTGCTTAGAAATGCCTACAGTATCAGCTGTGCGCCTCTCTGCACAAGCGATTGATGATGTCCTGGTGACGTTCGAACAGCGCGTCATTTCCTGGGCCAGTACATGCTTTTCCATGAGTTGTGAAAGCGGAGACTGCCTTTAGGAGTTTCGAGCGGCCCTGCATGGACCTCTAACCTGCGGTGTGATAGCGCTCCTTCACGAATGCAACAACAGCAACAACAACAACAACAACAACAACAACAACATTGAAAGAAGACAGACCCTGTCTCAGAGATGGCTCAAGGCAAGGCCATACCTGATCATTTTGGTGCGGCAGCATTCTCTCCAGGAGTTGTGCTGGACAAGCGTCCATAGTAGTACTTCTCGCGGTCTGCACGAATCAGTAGGAGGTCTTCTATGATAGCCTGCCGATCCCAGTTGGCATGAGAGCCGCGAGCACTGTCTCAGACTCTCAGACTGTAACCTTGACAGGCACTTACAGAGTCCGGCGGCCCTGCATAGCACGATAGCACTCACTTCGGTGTTGCGGCCTCGGCAGCTGCCAGACTGCCGCTTTCGATCGCCCAATAGAGGGGCGAGATCGAATGCGTGCCAACCTTCGGCCATGCAGCAAAGAGTTCTTTGCAAGTTGGAGCGTCCCGAGCCGACCTGAATCTTCAGCAGCCACTGGAAGCGTTGGCCGCGAGGAGCACAGCTGATGGCCTTCTGCCTCGATGGAAAAGCGCTATCCGAAGTGCTTTGGCGAGCACTACCGGGCCCCCGGCAACATCTTCTTCGAGTTCGCATTCACTGCCTTTCCGATCAGGCCACAGTCGGGTCTGTGAGTTGCATCACAGAAAGTCGGCCAGCCTTCATCACGATGGTGGATCCTTCTGCGACGGTCCTCACCTAGGTTCAAAGGCACAGCACAGCAAAGCTTCCATCAACAGGTTGGCAAGGCTTCTTGGGGCCGGGCTAGCTGCTTCGACACTATTCCCAAAGACCACTTGAAACCCTGCAGTGCCAGGGCATTGTCCTTAGTCATAAGATACTGGCGACCGCAGGAGACGGTGCGCATCAGCCATCCCTCCAAGCAGACACCATGTCCAGCACAGCTTCGCCTACGGCATCCTTGATGACTTCCACACACGCATTGACCTGACAAGTTTCTCAATGACTACCTGGTACTACCTAACAAGGCTCCGTCTTGGCTGCTGCCTTCTCCCGATGCTGAGGCTAGAGCAAAGGGTGCAAACATTTCGGTCGGCACACCATATCCGACGTGACGCAGCCCCAATGCCGAGAGGTCATCTATTAACTGGCAAAGGATGGTGATTGATTGCCATGGCGAAGATCGGTCTCACAAGCATGTCTCGCAAGGCCAGGCCTGCCATGGGTCTCCGTAAATCTCGATGGAGAACCAGAAGACCTTTTTTAACAGACAAGGCAGCGAACGTGCGATCATGCCTCGACGAGCTGCAGCTGCGAGCACAAGCCGATCCGGCCTTCTCTGCAATGAAATGTAGGCGCGTGTCAGACTGCTTGAAATACTCTTGGCCAGCCGGGGTAGATGCAAAAAAGCCTCGCCGGGTTCAAGCTAACCACAGGTAGTGTTGGAAGGAAAAAGACAGCCACTCTCCTTTCTGTCCTGCAACATAGCCTTGGTACTGCCTCCGGCCTCCTCTCAACCGCACATTCAGCAAAGGCCTCAAGAAAAGAATTGAATTTACTTGGGACCAGCCAAGCAGCGTTCGTAGATCTCTGCGCGAAGCTTGTAACCTTAGAAGCCCATGAAGCTCGCAACCTTCGACAAACTCGCAGTGGCACTGCAAGCAGGGGACGCGCATCCTCGCCGACGGAACCAAAATATTGGTTCACGGCTGCCTGGCTCAGGGCCGCTATACTAAAGCTGTACAAGGCGAACTGCAAGCGCATGCAGTCGCCACGTTTGTATTCCGAATGACTTTTGCACGGACGACGGGTGCTGTGCTATCAGACCACGCCTCCCACTTGTAGGAGCTGCCAAGTGTCTGTACCTCACAAACTTGCAGGCAAAACGGCCACATGTGTGTATGTGTATATATATATATATATATACATATAATGCGACCCTGCGATTGTAGGGTCGTCAAACAGAAACAATCACGAAACCGAGCCCAAGTTGCAAGCAGTGTCGCGACGTTATCCCAAAGCCAATTCCAAGCAACCTCATAGTTTGTGTCCCATTCCTGCAAGCCAGAAGCACGAAGTGTCTTGCTGCGAGCTGCCAAGTCCCCCTGCCTTTGGAAGCAGGGATCGCAATGAGGACAACATGCAGGATTTGAATTGCGCCAAGTTGGGGGCCTTGAGAAGGCAACACGCTGTTTTGCAGAGCTCCTGCACATTACAGTATCCTGTCCCACTCCCATACTGGGCTCGCAGCTTGACCCCGAGAGACCTGGATGAGTGAAGAGCACTCACAGACCAGCGCGCTGGTTCGCTTGACTGCACACACATGGCGCCTTGTCGATCCGCAGCGACAGCAAGTCGCACTCCTCGTGCAGCCGCAAAGCATCCGATGCGTTCACGACGATGTCTCCGAAGGAGTTCAAAATTTGCTCCATCCTTACTCAAGTGAAGCACGTCAGAACCAGGCAGGCACACAACGCGACGCTAGCTACCACAGCCATGCTGAGAAGGATTGTGAGCAAGCATCCAGCCACCGATGCCGAACCCCATCACTTGCGAGTTAAATCTGAACATCTCCTTGGCCAGACTCGCTCAGAGGCAGCCCTACTATGTCCTCATGCCAGACATGTGCGACCGGTATGCGACGTCCAAGTGAAGCTGACCAAGTCACAGAAAACGTCATGGGAACCACCATGCCAGTCTGACCAGTGGTTGCAGCTTGGTTACCTTCAGGTCCAGACAATGGCCACACACTTTTGCGGCTTGCTTTTGCCGGCATGATGTTGAAAATGGTTGCCTGCCAAGCTACCACCAGCACCACCACCCGCATTCGACAGATTATTCAGATTCTTTCTTGAGGTGGCCTTGGCGTCGCTCAATGTCAAGAGCACAAACCACTTTTCGACAGATGATTTTCGTTGTATTCCAGGCGGCTTTCATGGTAACTGCTCGGCTTAGCACGCCTGCATCACTGCCTGCAGTGCGTGCAGAGCTTGTGCTGGACCCCTGGTCCCTCGAAATTGGCAGACAAAAAAGCTTTGCCAGCCACCGTCTGCTCGTCTCCGCCGACAGAAAGAGCAGCACCCCTGCACGAATGTGCTTCATCAACTCAAGTTGATCAAAACGCTGAAGCGGCTGTTGCATTTTGTGCTGCTGTGTGAAGGCAGTGATTGTATGGCGGACAGGCCTTCTTCTCCTCCTGCGCGACTTGCTGCGCAGCTTCGGCTTGCTCTGCCTTAAGGTGTGACATGAGACGGCAGGTATAACTCGCGCAAAGACCATACTGCGCAGCAAGATGCTGATCTTAGGCTGAACTGCTCGTCGTCCTTCAGGGTCAGAGACTGAAGTAGGACCGAATCGTTGGAGAATCTTGAAGCGGAACAAGCCATGGCAATTAAGGCCAAAGATGCGGTCTTCAGACCAGGGGATGGTTCTACGATGGCACAAGCTCTCCGCGCTCGCAGGCTCTTTCGAAGTGCTGCTCACTCTGTACATGTGTCGCTCCTGCAAGTATTCCAAAGACCTGTACAAAGGAGGGCCCTGCAGCACAAGCTTAGGCAAGCATGCTGCTTATGCCCTCGCAAGCTCAGCCTGGGAACAATCCCAGAATAACTTGCCGGAACTTGTCGTCATCATAGTCCACGCTTATCCAGCTGCGGGTGCCAGTCTCGAGCACGGACCCCCAGCCCTTCGTGTCTCGATAAACTCGCACCTCTTCAAAACGACACACGGTTTCGTCGACCACTGCAGCCATCGCCAACGGATCGTGAAGCTTCTTTCCCTCTCCCCGCGAGTAGTTGCACATAGCATGATACAACCTTGCGGCAGACGGCATCGGAGCAAAGTGCCACAACTTGTGCGTCTGTACACAGGCCCCTCGCTGCCAAGCTTCAACTTCAGTGCTGCGGCCCGGGTCGTCTCAGGCTTTGCTTTCTGGATAGCACCACGGAAAGCATCATGCAGGCGGCTGTCGTACACGACCTTATGTCTGCAACTGCAGGCAAGGTTTAGATCGGGGCTGACATTGCCGTTGTCCAGCGGTGCAGCTGGTTTTTAAGTTTAAGCATGCTGGAGTCAGCGACGATTGCTAAGCTGCAAAGAGTGAGAGACTCTCTGAGTGGCAAGATGGACTGGCTAATGGCTTGGCGCTGTTGCGCCTATGACTGTGAGTAATTCATCCGTGCAGTGCTCGTTGATCGGCTGTGTTTCAGGAACCAACTAATTACTAAGCCATCCTGCTGGCCAGCTAGCAAGTCTTTAAGGTGGTCCACCAGCTGACTGGCTGGAACAGGCTTTATCATTCTCAATCTCGATGCGATGCGCTCCCCGGCTAGTAAAACAGGCACCCGTAGCAGTCAGCAAAGCCCCCCGATCTTGCAGATCCCGGACCATCCGAGAGTCATTGTATTTTGGCACCGAGGGAGCGTGCAACAGGTGATCGCGGTCGTTTTCATCGTCTAAGTGCCTGAGGCCTGCGCGCGGTGGCACACGTTCTTGGATACCAGAACTCTCCTGCTGATGGCTTCGCTTGCCAGAGCTGCATGTGCTGCTGCCCGGTTGCCTGGGCATTCGTGTCAAACGGTTCTGGCTTATGTCATGACAAAGGCAAGGAGTGCTGCGCCACCCACATCATGCCTGGCGACCATTGAAGTTCCAGGTTTCACATGTCGTTCTCCCTGCAAACTTCCTGACTGAAAGGGGCCGGCTTAGCTTGGCAGTCGTAAGACTCGAAGCCAGGACACTCCATCTGCAAGTGCTTCGGCACCACACCATCGCCAGCAAAGCCTCCCTGTGCCACCCATCTGCCCAGGCTGAAGCCACCGATTTCCAAAGCTGCCCCCAAGTTGTGCAAAGGGCCTCGGACAAGAAACTCTTACTGCAGCACCCCCCCAAGCCTTGTGGCCCGTGGCCTCCTGTGAGGAGCGTCGTGCTTGCATCACAGCACTCCAGCAACACTTGCGTGGCCGTCTCGATGCCGGCACCTTCCAAGCAACTGACGAAGGGCCACATGCGGCCGTAACGTTTGTGTTTCGAGCGTGTTTCGGAAGGCCCTGCCTTGCAACAACTTCTCAGGGACGCGACCAAAGCTGTCGTAAAACTTGCCACGCATACACTTCTTGTCCGCGTTCTTGGGCCATTCTTGTGCTCCTACTCGCACATCTGGCAGCTGTAGCTCCTGAAGAACCCAGAGAACCAAGGCGACTTGCTCTGCTGCACCTCAGCCGCTGCAGGCACTGCTGCAGGCCCCAGGCCGCCCCCACAGAACACAACAGAACAGCTCGAGGCCCCCGGCCGGGAGTGATCGTCACCTGAAAAGGATGAGCAATTCGCAACGGGTCTCGCAGGGGCTCTCTGGCCCAGAGCTTGTGCTCTGTGCGAGGCTCGGAGAGACTCTGAGCCCCAAGCCGCACGCAGGTGGACTCTCGGATTTGCGGCCAGCAGCAGCAAAGTGAGCACATCGTCAGGATCGCCGGTTTCCATGTCGAAGACCACCTGCACCTGTAAACAACAGAAGCGCGCTCGCAGCTGCTCGTCATCATGCGGACGACCTTTCCCCGAGGCAATCAGGGACTTCTTCGGCCTCCGCCTCCGCTGACGTCGGGTCTCCTGCGACGTCCTTGCTTCTGCCTGGTCAGAGAGCTTCTTTTGCACGGTTCTGCTCCACAGTGCCAGGTCAGATGCCTGCTGGTGCAAGGGGTGCGGAAGGCGCAGCGGCGTAACCCTGCAGGGATGGCGCAACAGCAGAAGTACACGCACACCACTGTGACTTAGCTTCCGTGAAACCTCGGGTTCTCGATCTCGTTGCCATCGCCTCCGACGACCTGGCGGAAGTCCGAAACTCCCGAAGATTCGTGGCTTTGGCACGGGCTTGCCTTCTGTCCCACTGCTGGGCTGTGGCTCCATGTCCATGAAAGCGAGAAGGCCAGGAAACACTACAGCGATTGCAGCGTCTCGTGCAGAAACGGCTGCAGATGGCAGTGCTGGTGAAAGGGCTCTGCGAGCCGGTCCAGTGAGCAGCGAGCGGCTGTCCTCAAGCACTTCCTGAGCTTCCGCAGCCTCCTCCTCTTCTATCCTGGCAGAGCCGATGAATGCCGCCAAAACATCACAAGACCTGAACTGTAGCCTCTACCTACCAAGGCAATATTTCAGAGGCCTTGCTTCTTCTTGCTTGGCTCGGCCAGCATTGACCTCAGCATACATCGGGCAGCTTCTGTTGGGCTTTGCCACAGGGATGTGCCACGGATTCCTGGGCACGTCAAGTCAAGGTCGCGACTTTCGCCCAGCTTTCTCGAAGAATCTTGAGGCGGTCTGCAAACTCATTTCTGACATAAATGCATGCCTCAGCAACAAACAGGTTCACAGGCTCTACAGCTTCAGCAATTGCTGCCTTTGCTGCCAAGAAGCCCCTCCTATCCATCCAAAGAGAATCATATAACCTGTCCTGACCTTGGAACAAATTTCAGCAGCTGCGATACAAGGAGAAACGGTTCTGTCACATTTTGTTGCCGTGATGGTCACCTCTGGGGCAAAGTTCTGGCCCAGCTCCGCTGCCAGACAATCCACAATGGCCTAAGCAATTGGCTTCTGTTAGCGAGGCCAAGAACTCCTGCCGTGTTCAGGCTTGGGCGTCACGAAAAATCATGGCCCGTGGGATTGTAACCTTTGCGAAATGCGGCGCCAGAAAGCCAGAAGAGAGTCAAGAACGGAGCTTCAGCAAAACCGAGGCCTCGAAGTTGAGGTGACCTGGCCGCACATGGAGACGGCCGCATTCCTCCTGTCACCTGTAAACTGCGACCTTCTGCGCTCTTTGGCCCGAGCGAAAAGCGAGTGACTCCCCCATCTGCTTCAGCTCTTTTGGCTTCTGCAGGTGCTCCACCTGTGTTATGGGATGAATAAACGGAATTAACGCAAAACGTTAAGTTCCGGAAGATGTGGTTCTGTAAGGGGGCAGCGATGGTCTGCAGCTCATCGATGAGGCGGATGGATTGGATGACCTTCCGAAGCAGATCCAGTCTGAACCAAAGGCCTTCCTTCGTGCACCACCGGTGCGACGACTGGCCTTGGGGGTCTTGAAAAGAACTTGGAGCGAGGGGACACTGTCAAAGATCACGCCATACCTCAGTCAATCCGTGCACCGTGCATGCTACGCCTGGCCCACAGAAACAGGACAAGCACTTGACTTGAACCAGAAAACTGACACAAGACTGCCGGCAAGTCACAGCGATGATGCCGCTGAATCTCGGGAATCAAAGCAAGCGATGAAGGCATGCCAAGCCTGCGAGGAATAAAACAACAGGTGCAAGGCACCGCAGGCCTCAGGTCTTTTGCGACCCTTCAGACACCATCACAAATCTGTCTTCTTCCGCCTTAAGCATGGCTGCCGCGGTCTCCTTTGGCATACGCAGCTCTTCGAACGTTGCTGCGTTGATCCTTACCCAGCGCACGCGATTGTACGGGCCACCCGAACAGCCCAGCAAGCTATGCGGGGCCTTGCAATAAAGGCGGCAACAGGCCCTGCTACATGTATAGCCGAGGCACTCCTCTGCGATATCTTCCTGGCACTGGACAAGCCAACCACGCCAACGGCCCCATGCAAACCCCTCTTGATGGTGCAAGGCTAGCGACATTGGCAAAGGTCTCAGGAACGCTCCTTAGCTGCATGAGAACTCTCCAAGATGCGAATCTGTGCAGAACTGTCTGTCTTTCTGCTCCAAGCTTCGAGGCATCGCTTCTTGGACTGTGGTTACCATCGTCATGCGCTGGCATCAAGGGATTTCCTCAGCCAACGGAACGAGACAGCTTATGGAGAAGAGGCCAGGGATACACCTCCACAGCCGAGGCGCAGCTTTGTTGCTGCGGGACATGTACACGCCACTGAGCATGAGCATGCCCAATCACGAATTCGTTGGGCCCAGTGGCTGCGATGCCGACATGCACACATCTGCTGCGTAGCTACGCTACTGCCATCACGACGGGAGCACTCCAAGACCTCAAGGCTCCGGCACCTGTCCTGCCTGCACGGAAGACAAATTGCGCCTTCATAGGGTGCCGCAGCCCTTGCACCCAAACATCTTCGGTGGAATGCATCACCACGCCTGAGAGGAGGAAGTGACCCGGAGTCTCCTCTTCAGGAAGCAAGGTGAGTTCATCGGAAGCCACAGTTTCACCGAGACGCTGCGAAACTCCTTGAGCGTGTTTCCCAGCCGGCCTAAACTGGATTCTAAAAATTCTCAGGCGGTCTTGCTTTCGCTACATTGAGTCGCAAGCGACATCTTCCTTGGCGCTGCCGGATGATGAGAAGAAGCCGCGCTAGGGTGAGGCCTGGGGCTACAGATAGGTGCCACGCAGCCGCCCCCTGGTACTGAGCTTCGGTGCACTTGGTTTCAAGCTGACCGGGTGGAGCTGCCTGAGGTAGGTCTTCCAAGGATCTCGCCTTTGCCTCCCGCCCGCGAGTTTCTGCACCATGTAGGTTAGCAGCTAGCAGACAGAGGGACTTTTGAACAACCACCTGAATCTCAGGGCTCTGGCATCCGTGATACGTCCAGTCGCGAATTGGTGAAACGACGCTTCGGCGAGCCACGAGCATCTCCGAAGAGCATATTGCACACGAGACGATCGTTGGCCTTAGAGCTTCAACCTGCTCAGTTCCGCCACAAGGCAGGAACGAAGCCCTCGATAAGGTTTCGGCTAATGTGATGCATGCTCGGCGTTTTCCTGCCTTGTGAAGCTGAGATCCTACATTTTGAGTCTCCTGGCTCTCACGGTCAAGTTGAGAGACGTTGTGGAGGCAGCTGTTGTCAGCTTCGGGAAATTCTCCGGTTGCGGGTTTGCAGGAAAATAATAGCTTTGGTTCTTCAGCGCACTGCGGTTGAAGCACCACAGCAATGCTTCTCTGAGCATGGAGGAGGACAAGGGATGGAAGACGACAAAGCTGCAGCTCTTCTTCACGAGGTCAGGCAACTCATGCTCTTTGGAGAGAACAATTATCGGAACTCCGCCATAATGCGCATCAGCTCGGACTGTCTTGACAAGTCCTTCTGCTTCAAGTTCCGACTTGCCCAGGTCTACAATTAGTGCATGGAATCTTTCCTTGCCATCGTGCAGCCTCTTCCAGAAATCGTTGGACGAGCGAGCAAAACATATTGACATCTCCCTGGCAGCACAGATGAGGGATCGCATGATCCCCTTTCGAACGTCTGCCTTGTCAGTGAATATGAGTACAGATCTCCCCGTAACTGCTTTTTCAAAGGCCTTCATCAAACGCTGCGCTTGCTTGTTCCTCCCCCCCTTGGATTCTGCAGCTGAAGGCGCGTCTGCTCCATCTAACTTACTGATATCCGCAAACTCTGTCCCCATGGCGTCCACGGAGGTCTTCAGCTCTACTGTGGTCGACATTTCAGGGAGCTCTTCAGCTAGGCCCAGCTTCGGCAGGTTCGGAACAGATGAAGTCTTTGTCACTGCAGGCGCAGCATCCTCCATCTTGACTTCCGTCTGAAAGAACACACCACTGCTGGTTGCTGGCAAGGAAGCAGAGTGCGAGATAGCAGGTGGACTTCTGACTTCAGGCAAGACTTCGCCGTACCTTGCATTTCCTGGAACCGTGTGACCAACCGGATTGCTGGGTGGCCTCCAGCGAGAACTGCCTCGCTTCAAGCGTCTCAATCCAGACCTGTGCTCCTTCAGAGCCGCTGGATCTGCGTAGATTCTGCGCACCGTTTCCACACCAGGACCGCAGGTGGTGGGAGCACTGCCGCCCAGTCCCTCCAGCACGCACAAAGAGCTAGGATTCCTGAGCTCAAGGCTGCCCTGCGATTCCCCTCTCATGCCCGCCTGCAGCTAAGCCTCTTGTCATTTGGTGGCCGCCGCCGATGATCTAGAACCAGAGGCAACCAGTCATCTAAATCCTGCACAGAGCCAGTGCAGCGATGGCCCCGGCACAGCTATTCAGAATGCGGCACACGCACACACACACACACATTGACATCTCTCAGCTCCTCCAGCTCAATGACGGGTGGGGCTCCGCTACTGGGCGGGAGGCGAACCTCCTGGCGCTCTGCTGGTTCCTGTTCCCGTCGTTCGCGACGCTTCTGAAGCTTGGCCAGCCTTAGGTTAGGGGAGCGAAGGAAAGCGCTGTATTTAGGCGCGCACATACCTCAGGTGAGGAACTGCTTCACCGCCGTCTTGCTCGCCCCCGCTGGAAGTACCATGACATTTATCGCAAGGGGAGGCCTTCAGAGCGCTTGAGCCACCTGTCTGAATGCCGAGAAGTGGTTGGGCCGGTCCAAGAAGCATGCGCATCGCCACAGAGCACTTCTCCTGCTGCTCGTGCCTCCGAACCTGAGGCCTTGAGAAGTTCCCGACGCACCTGAGCCCATTACAGCGAGTGCTGCATGCAGTCACTGGGTCATCGCCACAGTGCATTAGCTGGGATAGCTGGGACGCCGTTGAGGATGCATTTTGGGAGCACGCTGCAAGCCGCATGTCCTTGTGGAAAATATAGGGCACATGCCACTGATGCCGCTTGCAGGCAGTGTGCGGCCCAAGGCTTCTCAGAAGCGATCGTTACAGGTCGAGCGTAGTTAGTGTTGGGCAGCCTTGGACATGGACTGCAAAGGTGCGCCTTCAGCACCTTTCAGCATGGCCTTCATCTACCCTGCCGATCATGACGACCTTTCTGCGCGGATGCCTTAAACAGCCGGTGCTCGTCAAAAGATGCTATGGAGCTCCGCAGAGAGCTCCTCTAGTCCGGATCCTCGATCAGATCGCCTGGGACTTCCAAGCAAACGCAGCACGCCCTCACACGACTCAGAACCATTTTCAGCCACGCCACGGATATCAAGACCAGACTCTAAATAGTACCTGAAGCTCAAAGGTTTTCTGCCGGGAACCGATGCGCCCTAGTCGGGGCTAGCAGCAAAAATCGCTGTTGAGTGTGGATGGGGTTAGCAAGCAGGCAACTGACAATACCTAACAGAGATGTGTCAGAACAATCTTGACTTAGACTAACAGCACCGGTCGTACTACCATCACCTCTGCATGCTGCCCAAAAAAGCAGAAAGAAGGAAAGAAGGCTAACTGCTAACTTTCGACAATAGAAGCCCTTCAGTGGCCAGTAATTCCAAATTCTGCGAGAGGCCCGCCGTTCTCAATGGTCTTCTCGTTGTCAGGCAGCGCTGCCTAGATCGAGATGGCATGACTCGATCTCTTTTCCGATCCGTCGCATGAAACAAGGGTGTCCTGAACTCCCGTTCTATGTAATCGTAAGCAGCGCATGCTCACCTCACAGAGCATCGTCTCACCACCATGTTTCAAAGGTTGCCGCACCTTTGTATGTGTCGTCAGTAGCTCCCCGAAACGAAATCGAGGTTCCACGCAATGTTGCAATTCTCCTTTACTAGGTAGCTGACGCCACCCATTCCCCCATCATAACAATAGCTTGCCAAAAACAGCTGCTGCAAAATGAATTTCGCAAACGACCTTCCAAGCACTGGATATGCTTGGGGTCCACATGCCGTCGGAAAAACATATTGGAGGATGCCCCGACGGGCAATGTTTAAAAAAGCGTCGATTTCGGGGCTGCGGCGGACGTGCCCGCAACACAGCCAGGCTATTCAAACGAGGCGGTGTCAGGTTTGGGGCAAGGGCTCCACCCTTTTACAGAAAAGGGGCCCGCGAGACCACGCACGGAAATGGATGGAACTACCCAGCCCCGACCATCTCCTCCACAGCAACTCAATGCGAAGAAGGACTTTCGGCTCAGCATCACCAAGCTGCAGAAGCATGCCTATACACTTGAGTCTATGTGCTAAGCTGATATTCAAGCTGGACCAACTTCATGACCTACCCGTCTCTGGGAGATGCGTCTGCTAGGGCAATGCCTGCTGTTCCCAGAAGTCGCTCTCCGTCCTGCGCATCAAGACCAAGCATGTCCCAGCCACTGCATCATGTAGAGAAGAGCAGAAGCACACAAGGATAATGTGGCCAGTGTCCTGTTGATTTTCAACATGATGGTATTCATGGCGGCTTCAAGCTCCTGTAAGAAGGCGCGTCTGGCAAATTCCATGCGACGCACGTATTGCAACCCTGCCGGCCCGCTGTTTGGCTTCGAACTCTTCCTTCGTAGCCTGACACTGAGGAAGCACTGCAGGAGCAGCAAGCCGAAAGACTTCAAGCATCATTGCGGAAGCCAGCCTTCATCGAGCATTCGTCTAGCCAGATATCGACCTCTAGGCCAGGCATGAACAAAGCACTGCGCTTGTACACAGTCCAGTCTTGCAGTGCACTCGTCATAGATTGCGTGCTACAGTGCTACATTGTGCTGCTTGCCGAGCTATCCACAGCAACTACTTTCAAAGACATCGGACATTTTAGGACTGCTAGCAACTGGCAGGGTCATCCAGCCTCCTCCATCTTTTTCTCGAGGCGTTCTTTGTCTCGTCGCAGGATCTTCTCCTGTTTTCGGCCATAGTCCCGAAGGCTGGGCTTAGTCTTGGCGCTGACTTGCGACGTAGAGCGGGACTGAGAAGCTGGCGGCATCTATGTCTTCCATGGCCTTCCTCGTCCGCCGCATGTACACGGTCAGGGACTCACAGGGGTTCTTGCCGGCACACGCAAACGCACAAACGATAGAATGCCGGCTTTTGGCTTGGCTTGGCGTACTCTCTCGGCTTTCGAGGTTTGGCGGGCTGTGTGGTGGCAGGCCTCTCTGGCCATGATCTCGCCTCTTGCCAAATCGTCTTCATCCTGTCCATTCCATGAATCTAACTCAGCCGCAGATGCGGCTCAACTAAGCTGTGCCTTGTGCTGTTCTGCATCCTGAAGCATGCGCTCGATCTCGCGCTGAGACAGACGACCTTTGCTCAAGGGTCCATCATCCTGTCAACCTGCTCCGGGCAGCACTGCCAGCCCACCTTTCTCATTGGTGATCTGGATCTCTCCCTTCCGATGCGTCTTCATATCCTGCGTGTGCACAGCATTGAAAAAATGAGGCTGCTCAAGCGCACGAAACCGGTGGCCTCTGCGGTCACTTCCAAGATTCCGTTCGAATCGACGTTGAAGGTAACCTGCGCATCTTGAGCCCTCAGGGCAGCCTTGCAGGGCAGCCTGCAACTGCCCCTTCGGCGGAGTCTGCCTTGATCTTCGGCACGCCCCTCAAAGTCTTTGGGAGGCCGGTGAGAACGAACTTGCCAAGGTAGTTGTTGTCCTCGGCAGCTCACCCCAAACCAGTAAAGGTTGACCAGGTTTGCCCTTGTCTGCCCAGCTGCTTTGACCATGGCTCGCTCGCCCTCGTAGACCTCCACGTGCAGAGGCTGGGGCGCGGACAGGGGCTTTTCAGCCTCCCCACCTTGATCTCCACGTGATCCTGATAATCCTCTGCGGTGGTGAAGTCCTGAGACACTTCGGGCCCGCCGAGTCTCCCGCCCGCCCGCCGATGAAGTGGAGAACCCGGCCTGGCTCTTGTTGGTCGGGATCGTGCTGTTTCGCTCGATGAGCTTTTGCATCATGCCACCCGCCATCTCGATGCCTGGCCAGGAAACGGGCGCCACCGAAAGAGCATTGCCCGGTTCCAGGCCGCCTAAGGACAAAGGTGCCACGTCGAGGAGCAGCATGTTCTCGACCTCCTCTGTTCCTGAACTTCCCGAAATCGAAGGCGTCTACGAATCTAGCATTTCATCGGTTCATGCAAACTGCCAAAGGATTGCATGATCTCCACATGGCATGCTGCTAATGCTGCGGCGAGGCACCGGTACCCGAAACAATCGCTGCCTGAACAGCTGCTCCATACGCTACCGCTTCATCCGGGTTGATCTCCTGAGCGAAGCTGGCAAGCTGGCCGCGGCGCACATGAGGCACTGTCGTGCCTTGCAGAGATGCTTGCCGTTGAAGAAGGCGCTGATCAATTCTTGAACTTTGGGGATGCCTGGACATGGACCAAAGGATGCAAAGAAAGGCGGCCAAACTCTCTGCCGGGTGCCGCACGAGTGGAGCCACCTACGAGCACTACGTCGGAGATCTGCGACTTTGGCAGGCTGCTGTCTGCCAAGCACCTGAGCAACTAGTCACTCCAGGCGAGATCGGTCACTGCTAGCATTGTTGCCCAGGGCACTGTGAGACAGGCTCCATTGCCTTCTTGAAGTAATCCATGCCTGTCCACCGATATTCTGGGCAGACCCAAGACCATTTTCCAAAAACTGAGGCCAGAGCAAAGCTCTTCGAATTTTGCACGGGAAAGCCGCATACTGAAGTCGACGCCCTCGTGCAAGGAGTCAATCCTCAAGCAGTACTCTTATGCGAAGAAGCCAGAACTCCTCGCTTTCAGTGGGCCCTCTGCTTGGGATAACGGCTACCAGCAGCTAATATAGTAACTAAAGTTACTATAGCCTGTGTGGGATACCAGGTTGTTGCACCGGGAAAGAGGCAGTCGTAGCCGGAACCACAGGACGAGGACGGAAGGTTCCAAGATCCGGACAAACGAGCTGGTTGGTACAGGGAAACGATTGAGGCGACTCGGATTTCCTAGAGGAAACCATGCTCGAACCCAAACTCTCCGGATCCTGCCAGAGCACGAGAGAGCGGCCCCTAGTCACTTTGCTTGGCTCTTTGCAGAACGCATCAACTCATGTGAGAATTCCACCACCAATCCTGACCAAGTGGTATGCGTTCATGGTTTGGCCAAGGTTCCGTACTGTTGAGTGCGTGGGTGCGAGAAAACCGGCGCTGACTGATTTGGTGCATACAAACAAAGCGACAAACTGCACTGTGGAATGTAGACTGCCAGCGCATGAACAACTTGCAACCTAACACATGTCCTCCGCACCAGTCCCACAATTGTTGTGCCTTTGCAGTGGTTCGGACTATCGAGAACTGGCCAAACACGCATCTTTCAAGGAAACTCGTCTCCGCGAGTTCACGGGTGATGTAATTTTTGCCGGGCGCGGGATTTAAGACGCACTGTGGCTTTCATCAAAAAGCAGAGTTTTTTGGTGTTTAAAAGCGATTTTTTACCGGAATCGGGTGTTTACCCCCAGCGAGGCGTCTGTGTGAAGCTGCTGTCGGAGCAAAATGTGCCAAGAACACATGCCCGTCTTAAATATTCGGTCCCATATAAGAGCCCAGCAATAGGGTAGGTTTCTAATAAAAAAAACAATAGGAAGGCTTTGTCGGAGCAGAACCTGTGTGCAGTCTGTAAGGCCCCCAAGCAAGGTGTGAAACAGGAGGAAATCCGGACTTTGTAGACCCTTACAGGGAGACAGCGTGTGTCTTGAATCCCGCGCCCGCCTAATCTTTCATTTTCGGCAATCTAAGAGAACTTCCCCTGCAAGTGCACAAATAAACGGCATGCAGATGCCACTGGGGGTGGAACTCTATTGTCACGGATGTCTGTGTGGACAGCTGCCGCTTCGCGCGCTCGCACTGGGTCCGAAGTCGACGAAGTGCTCTCTGATTCCTAGGCTTGACTGCGAGTGCCGGGAATTCATAACTCGAGTTTGAATCTCTCTCCCTCTCTCCAGTTCATACACCGAGAAGCCGGGTCGGATCAGACTTGTGCTTCCGGCGGAACTCCGAAATGCAGTAGCTCAGCATGCCTCGGAAAGAAGAGGTATGGAAGAAGCTGTATTCAATGCATGTGCTGCAGCAGGCTACTCGAAGTCGAGCTGCGATTGTCGAAGTCCTCCCCACCCAAGTGAGGATCTCCAGCTGTTGCCTTCACCTCGAAGACTGTATCCGTGATTGTCAAAATGGAGACCTGAGCACGGCCACAAGCATGACAGCCTACCAGCCCCCAAAACCCCAAGCAAATGCGTCAAGGCCGCATCAAAAGTGCCACCACCCATGTCGAACACTAGGATGTTGGTCTCCTTGGCCTTGGAGCACATGTATATGCACCAGCTTCAATTTTCGAATCGAAGAACTTGTAAACACCACGCAGAGCTCTGTGAGGGTCCTGTTTCTGAATATTTCCTTTGTAGGGCCATCAAAGTATGGTGTCTTTCTTGGTCCCAAGTACCCTGGTCAAAGCTACCAGCTAGACTGATCGTCCAGATCCTGCCATCTTCAGGGATATGGCCGTGCTTCACGACGGCAAAAGTAACTGCAGGATGGAACCGTGGGAGCTGTGTCGGCGGCATATGTCCCACCTGTCGTGTCGCATCGGCACCATATGACCAGCATCATGGTTCTTCCGGCAAGGACGATGCCGGCCGCTGCGCAGAACTTGTCATACAAAAAAACAAACCGTTACCTGTTAAATCAAACTGCTCCACAAGAACAGCTCCTTTTTCTACGCCGCCAAAGGAAGGCACCAGGACACCCCCCTCGCGTGCGACCGCGGCCCTGGTCTTGTCGCCCGGCATCATGTGACACTAGATGAGGCCTGTAAGAACATTAGAAGACCACCCCCGGGTCTCATCGGGCTACAGCCTGGCTCTGGATTCCGTCTCGCAGTCAATTGCTGCTAATGCAACATCTTTTCTTTCGCCAGGGCTATGGTGTAGGGGTTTAACCCCCTACACCGCGCGCAGGTGCACCCCTAACGGTTGCGGGTGCCAACATGTTGCAATGCAAGCGAAGGCAACTGCATGATGAAAAGGACAAAATGAAATCACTCAGCCACAGGCCCGGAGATGATGTACGAAGCACAATCAAACAAGCATATAAGAACAAGCTAGGACTGGGAAGCATCTTTCTTTGAATCTTTCTTTCTTTCTTTCGCCAGGGTTAGGGGCAAGAGGATTGCTCCCCTTACCCGCGCGCTAGTGCGCCCCCGACCGTTGTGGAGGGGGTGGAGAGACGAA